GCGGCCTTTTTTCTACTATAAACTCCTTTTTATCGCGCACTCATGCACACTGTTGATTTCCAAGAAATGTCCTTTATTACGTTGTCCTTCGTGCAACGCCAATTTTTTTTTTTTTTCGAACGCGAATTCAGGTAAGCTCGTAAATTTTTCATATAGATTTTTATAAAAAAAAGTACTATTAGTTTAATCACTGCCACCGCTAGCTAGCCTTGCGTGCGTGCTAATGTCAGCTTGACTTATGGAAACGAAATAAAATATTTCACAAAGCTAAAAAGATTAGCCGCTGTGGCGTGGAGTATCGCAGCGCAAAAATTGGATTTCGTTATGGGGCTGTGGCGTAAAATGCAAACATACATACATGGGCGTAGCCAGGTAGGGGCAGGGGGGTGCTCGAGTCCCCCCTAACTTTCAAATTTTCCTTATATAAAGCTATGTGTATGCGCCACCCTTTTCTTGCTTCATTTACATACCAACTGTGTTGTTTGCATTTATTACCAAATAACAATTCGTTTGGCAGGCAGGGACTTCCCTGTACTTTTGTTTGCTCTGCACGCGAGTTGGCTCATTTCACACAAAGCTTAAGCTTTTACAATGCCAGTGACAAAATATTTGTGTAGAGTAATGTACAAAGTTATATTTATGCATATCGATGGTTTAAGGATTTCTCACTATGTTTATGCTCACTCCACATCCAGTCGGCGGCATGCTTGCGTTGATCACTACTAAATAATATTAAGGTCAGCGAAAATACGCCTTGTTTATTCGAAGGTTGTGAACCCGATCGAAACTTGTCGCACATGAAATGCCAAGATTTAAAATTTGTTTCCTTCATAAATACCTTTCATGTTTGTATATAAGCATTTATTTGGTGACGGCTTAAACTTGTAGATGGCTTCGTTTGCATACCATAAAGAAAGTTCGACGACGCTACAGAATAATACACAGTTAGAGTGGGAGCAAAATTCGACAGAGAACCAGTGAGCCCTGATAGGACCAGGGATCCTGGGACACAAACCATGGGGACGACATGTGGCCACTATAGTTATCATCGCGGACCCGCTGTATACGTCTTGTTTGGAAGTTGAGTATAGTACAGAGCATTTTCTCTGCAGCTCTGCGACCTCCGCCAGACTGAGTTGGTACAATTTTGGGTGAGCCGGTTACCGTGACACGTTAACAATCGACAGTTATACTACCCAGTTTCATAGCCTATCTGTTACGTATTTTTAATTTTTTGGAGTTGTAGCATCATCCACCTGGCGCTTCTAAGTATACATTCCTCTGATCTTAATTCTTCCGTCATAGTAAGTGCGCTATGATATCAATGCGTTCTCCCAATGGTATTCGACTGCCGCTGTCAATGGAAAATTGCTATCATAAGTCTCTACAAATTTTCGTTTGCACCCATGCTGATGGCGTAAACCAATGCACAGAAGACACTCGAATTATTTCACAAATGGAAAGGTTCATAAACGCCTGAACTCAAGACCTTAGCGCTTCTGTCTCTTTTGAAATTGAACAGGGCCTTCTTAGCGGTTTGGTTTATGAATATATGTAGTGGTTCCGGGTTGCAAATAATGACCCAGTAGGGCAAATTCGCATGCCTTATGTAACGTAGGTGCGTCTCAGCAACTGAAGCCCTTTGACTGAACGTCTAAGCGTGTTAAAAGCTGGTCCATTCCGACTGCTTCATATTTATGTCATCGTTGGTCTGGCTAGCATTGGATTTATGCACCACAGAATATAGGGGCTTCATCACCATGTTTTGGCCACCAGTCTACGACGAAGGCCTTGTATGTTACCCGTCTCTTCGCGGTGAAACGTCTTTTTATCGAGAAAACTGTTTTTAAAAGTACCCTGAGTAAGGGACCAAAGCTTAAATTTTTTGGTTGCCTCAACAAAGACGTGGAAAGAAGTACTACTGACTCGCGAAACTCTTCAATAACCTATATTGCGGAACAGTTTCAAAATTCCCCGTGGCGCGAATGCAGATATCTTTTCAGCACACGCTTGTATCGAGAAGTTATTACGATTATTGGATCAGAGAGACAGTCCCTCAGGAGGTAGTTTTTACCGTTTAGTGCAGGGAGTACATCAAGAATCTACACAGTTAATCTTCACCCTACTCCTAGTGGCTCTCGCTTTTCTTGTATCTCTGCGTTCAACATCGGCCGTGTGCCTCAACCCGAACCCGAAATCGAACCCACTATGCTGCGGAGCCTGGAGGAAAAGCAACTGATCTTTCAAGGCTCACTCGGAGTACTTGAGAACTCAAAGCCATCAACACCTTATCAAACAAAAAAATCCTCCTACATATATATTTTCTCTCCAACTCACCTGTATGACGGCGGCATTCTCTTCCGTTTTCACACCATCCATTTCGGTGCGATTACGCATCGCTGCTGCCGCTTTAGCCTCCTGATAGTCGATATCACCCGTCTGTAGCCGTTTCATTTCAGCCAAATTGCTAGTTGCCTGCTCCGTGCTGAAACCATCGGCTACGACTTTCGTCTTCGATTCGGTCTTTGTGCTTCTCTCTTCGAATTTAACGGTATCGACAATTTTACCCGAACCGCCCAAGCCATTGGTGGTGGTAAGTTTGCCATTCGAGACACTAACCAAATCGGCCAATTTGTGATGATCGTCATCGGCATCGGGAAATGTGACCAACGGTTCGGCATCGCTGTCGACGAGATTTTCAATGGATGAGCGGATTCTGAAATGAATGGAAACAAATTAGTTTTTCACAAAGTTACAAAAGTAATAATTGAATTTCGAAAGTGTCTAGTAAAACGGTGTTTACATGCGGCGATTTTACATGCAATTTCAGAGGCGATTTGTTGAATCGAAACTTGGTTGGCTGCGCCTTAACTTCATCGGAAGCGATTAGTTGAAAGGCCATTCACACCAGGCAAGTAAAAGTTGCATGTAAAATTGCCCCATCTAAACGCCGTATAAGCAGCTCAACGTACTTCTTTTTCAAATTTTCAATGGCATCCGCACTGTTCAGCGCTTTCAATTGTGTGAGATCGTTTATGGATGGTTGATGTGCTGCTGCTGAGATGGCCAAATTATTGCTGCTGCTGCCCAGTGCACCGCTATTCGTGTTGTTGGCATTGCGGCCAACAAGATCGGTTATTTCAGACATGGAATTTTTCATTTCGCTCAAATCGCGTTGCAGTGCTGCCGTCTTCATTTCGGACGATGATGTGGACGACGAGGAGGTGGACGAAGATGATGAGGATGTGATGTGATGTAAACGTTTCTTTTCAACGCGTGTTGTTGTACTGCTGTTAACGACCTGAAAATGCAGAGAATGGGAGAAATATGGAAAAGTTAATTGAAAAGTTATCATCAAAAAAGGTACATATTTTGGTTTTTGTTGTCTTTGTTGTATGTAGATAAAGATAAATATTTACAATCTAGGAAAGATAAGGCTAGTGGGCAGCTAGATAAAGCACATATGCTTGTGTGTAGAGGGCGCTGTTGGCAAGCGTCGAAGAAGTATTCGAATCGAAAGTCAAGGTGCACAGAAAGGATAGATTGACTGTGCAGAATTTGCTAGGTAAATCGAAAAAAATGTTTTGCATGTCATTCAATATTTTTTTTTTCTAATTGAGGCTGGCTGCTTATAGAGATATACATTTGCATGTCTAAACAACATCGCAAAGATATTTTCGCAATGAGTCGTTTGCGCTAAAAATACAAAGCGACAATCGCAACAAATAAATATTTTGATTGTACACATTTGTTTTTTTTTTGATTGTTAATTATTTGTAATCATTATTGCAGAGCAGAAATAATTTTTTGTTTGCTTTGGCACGAATGTGCCACACTAGCGACTAAGTAAACGCGCAACGCTCGCAAAAGAGAAATTTGGGTGAGCGCCAGTGGTGAGCGGACAGACGTAATCTGCTTTTATCAGCGTACTATTCAAATTAAAGTGGAATATAGAAAAAAACACTCAAACAAAGGGAAGGCGTTTTCGGGCTGAATTCAAAAAAAAAAATTAATAGCCGAGTATGTTGGGGTGGTGGAGGGCAATCGAAAGAGAATAATTTAGTAAATTGAATTTCACAATTGTAGTAGATTTTTAAAGAAAAAAAATTTTTCCTCATACATTAAAATATTTGAAATCTCGGATAAAATATGAATGTAAACAAATTTGCTGCAAATATAGACTGCTTGGTTTACGTTGTGGACTGGCAGCGTCATCGGACCGTACTTCTTCGAGGACGAGGAAGGAGCTATAGGAACCGCCAATTCTCAGTGATATGTTGTGAAGATCAAAATTAATTTTGCCCTGAAATTTAAGACTTTGATCTGAACGAGGCGTGATTTCAACACAAGACAGGGCCCATTTATGGTGGTGGATTAAGCAGCAGTTTCTGGCAATTTGACTGGCTTAGGCAGTTACAGCATTAAACCAGAAGAAGAAGAAATACTAATATTCGGGGGTGCTAATTACTAATGTACTAAGGTTCAATAAAAACAAACGGAAATTTTTGTTTTGTTGTTAGTTTTTCGGGATTCTTCGTGTTTTACTTTTCGGGATTATTTTAGGTAATATTTTTTTAAATTTTTTTTGGAATATCGAGATTCTTTGTGCTATATTTTTTGGGATATTTCGGTATTTTTGAGACTTCTCGGGACCTTTCTTAATTTATTCAGAAATTTATTAATTTATTTAGGAGACTACTTCGGGATTTTCATGACTTCTCGAGACTTTTCTTTAATTTTGAAGGATTTTTCGGGATTATTCCTGCTACATTTTTCGGGACCTTTCGGGATTTCAAGATTATTTTAGTAATTTCTAGACTATTTTGGAATTTTGGGTAACTATTCCTTGAATGAAGCTCATGAGTTCTTCATACTCCTAGCAAATTCTTCAGTTCACATAAAATTTAAACTTCGAAACAAGCATCAAGCTTAATCGAAAAATTACAGTTAAAGCTGGGCAAATATTTATTTACATTCGACACACATTATTGAATAAATTACTCTGGCACGACCAGCCGGCTACCAAAACAATTGAACAAGTAAAAAAGCCATAAAAACTAAAGAACTATAAAATCCATTATTAGCCCGCAAGCAAGTGAATATGTACAGTCTCGCTCAAAATTATTGGCGCAGAGCATTTTTCACAATGTATGCAACATTTTTTATTTCAAGTTTTTTCCGTATTTTTTTTTTTAAATAGTTTCCATTACAACAAAAAAACATAACAATAAAATTTCTGAACTTTGTGCAAAACTCAGGAAAATTCAATACATTTCCAACTTTCACAGAAAAATTTTGAAAATTTTAGTGCAAATTAAGGTGCATGTTTGAAGTTGCTGAAAATTGCGTTGATTTTTGACAATTTTTTTTCTAACAGTTTCACGCAATTTTATTTTAAAAATTTTTCAAAAAAACTGATAAGTTGAAAATTTGTTGAATTTGCAGAAATTTTATTTTTATATATTTTGTTGTATTATAAATTAGATTTTTGTAAAAAACTTGCGGAAAAAATTCAAAAAATTTTAAAAATTTTCTATGCCAATAATTTTATGCCGGACTGTACATAGGCATGTGTAAGTAAATTTTATGCCGGCACGAAAAGCCAAAGTACAAAATAAAATTTAATAATTTATTCATTAAAGAAAAAAAGGAGAAAAGCCAGCAAGCGTTTTCCGCAAAGCTCAACAGCGAATTCCATTTATTGCGCGCAATGGCAGCTGGCAAATAAAATATTTTTATTTTAATGTACTCTAATATTTATACAGTATATACTGCATATGTAAGTTCGCAATAGAACTGTGCGCATAATGATTGCGGTTTGATAAATTGCCTACAGTCCACACATAATATGTATGTAAATTGCCGGCAGGGCGTATACGTAACTAATTGCTCACCGTTGCGCCACTTTCTCGTAAAGGCGAAAATAAATAATAAATTTTTAGTTTAAAAATGGCTTGCTGCTTTTGAATTCTTCTAAAAATGTTGCAATCGCGCTTTTAGGAATATTCTCGCAAACGGCTGACTGCCGCCACTTTGTCTTTTTTGGTTGTAAAAACAAATTTTTTTTTTAGTTTTTCATCATTTATAGCATATTTATGTAAATATATGTTTATCTTCTTCAAATCTCGCTATTAGTAATCATTGCTAATTTTGGTCAAGCTGTATGTATGTTTTTTTTTTAATTTAAATTTGCGAAACTTTTCTCTTTTTTCATTTATTTACTTTGCTTAGGCGAAATGTCATTCTTGACGCATATATATATATTATGGATTTTTTAGAGACATGCGTCTACACATGAGTGTATGTTAATTACCGGCACATTCTGTCACTCAACGTCTATCCAGTTTTGTCGCCTTTTTAGCTTATGCAGCTTCGGTGAGTGTAGGCGTACGCGGCGTCTAAAAGTCGTTCTTTCACTAATAACATTTAATTTTTATAAGGAAATCTGTTGTCTGGAAACTAAAGCTAAAATGAAAAAATTTCCAAATTTTGGTCTTAGCTTACTCAATCTTGTGCGCTTTGACAGCTATCAGCTTAATGCCGGATGAACACTCATCCTTGGTAGGTCGAGGAAAATATTACCAGCAGCAAAATGAATGGGATTTCGTGAGAAATTTTAAATGTACTTGTATTTAGGTATGTATTGTGAAATTCGCTAAATTAGAAATTCTGCGGAAAATGAAAATGTTTCAACCCGGCCAATGCGTGCAATCTATTTATTTAAAAAATAAATATAAATTTTGAAGAATAATAAAAAAATAAAAATAAATTGTTAAAAATAATAATTTTCATACAAATTCTGAATATTGAATCAACCTTAAATAGTAGTAGTTCCACAAATACCTCGCCGCTCACGATTATGAACTAAATCGACCGATAAAAATTGATCTCAACTCTAGCGCCACTTAGCAGCTCTACTTTTGGAAAAACGAGTTTCTACTTGTGTGGCCAATAGACGCACATAATATGATCTTATTATTAATCAAATCGGAAAATAAATACGGCTTTTGTAAATGAATTGACTCCAGCGTCACCTAGCGGATCCACATAAATTTACTAATCCTCCTCCCAGGCCCGCTCAAAAAAGCTTATACAAATTTAATTAAATTATTCGATATTATCAGGATAAGAGCTTCCCCAAGGCCAGTATATTTACTCTGTGTGCTTCCAAATGCAAGTTAAGGAAAGCTTTAAAAAGCTGCTGTATAATATTTTTAGTCGTGACTGGTTTAGAAACAAGTGTTTTAGAGATCGTTTAACAATAAATCAGTGCTTCAATCGAGCTTTGCCATAAAACTGCAATTTAAAAAGTTTCAAAGCTCCATATACCAACATTTTTAAACTGAATTGTATTAAAGTTTTGAAGGTTATTTGGATTTATAATGGCTCTTTTTCATTTTTTTGAAAGACTCTGCGTTAAAAACAGTAATGGGTATAAAGAGCTTTTACACTGCGCATTAAAGAAAACCCTTGCAAGGCGGCGCTCATTACCAATGCAAAACAGACACGACTAAAGCCAGTCTTGATTGAAATATATCCTGTGAAGGAAGCTTTTTAAAGCCCTCTCTTTATATTTTTTATATCAGTGAAGCCCATTGAGAGCTTTCACACTGAACGTTTATTGCAAATCGTGACTGTTGATATAAAATGTCCAAAAAGTAAGAAAAAACGATAGCTTTTATTTTGTGCGAGCCGTATATACATACATAAAATGCTTTTGAAAGCTTATGAAGTCGCCAGCATTGCTGTGAAACAGTGAATTTCTAGACTAATGATCTCGAGCCAGAGCTTTACCGAGCTTTTAAGAGCAAAAATTAAGAAACTGCGTCTGATTTTCAATCAACGCTGACATTTTTAGCAGGCATATTATATTTTGCACAGCTTGTAGTTGCGTTTTGACTAGATTTTCGAGCTTTTAGCATATGCGTAATATGTATAATTATATGATTTGGTCTCACTGATGTGAAAAACAAGCTTTATTCTAATTTCTTTAAAATTTACTCTTAAATACGGAGGCTTTCTTGAACGAAAAAATTAAAAATTTAACAGAAGTGGATAATGGTTTTATTTTATGTATTCTATTCTATTCGTGCTTTGAAGGGATAAATCATGTACTTAGTTCCATCGCTGTAATCCGTAATATCTTAATTTCCAATTGGATTAGAATATTTATTATCTCTGTGAGGTTGCAGTTTCGTGTCGCTTGAAGGAGCTAAGAATTTTTCCAGCTAAATAAAATACACAATTTTGTAGGACATCGGCTTGTCAAGAATAACAATAATATTTAATAGATTGCCG